AACAAGAAATCAAATTTCAGCCAAATTGGTTCCCGGGTTGCCGACTAGGAGTTTAAAACGTACCCTCAACTTGCCCTGATTTTCATTTCGAGAAAACCGTGGAAAAAGATTTTTGGCGGCGTATTCCCGGCTTGCACTGTCACGCAAAGAAAAATAAAAATACAAACCATTCAATACAGAAGGACTAGAATCTGGGAAATGAAAAAAGATGAATATACAAAAACCCTTGCCAAGAATCAGGTCTCTGAAATATTTCAAATGCGAGATATTGGGAAAAACGGTTTACCTAAATTTATAAAGCTTTGTATGGAAACGCCATGTTGGTGTCCCTTTCAGGAACACCAATATGGCCGCCGGATACCAACAGAAACATCTGTTTTCGAGTTTTCCTACTAACGCGTGAATTCTTCGCTTGAGGAACTCATAAAGATTAAAGTAATATTTATTCTGAGACAAGGAATGTTTAGATTGCAAAATCTCCCAAAATCGGTAATGTTTTAACCCACATAAGAGCTTTCCCGGCCGCCAGCTAAATACCGTGTCACGCAAAAGCCTGGAAATTCAAGCGTCCTCTCTCGCAAAACGAAGAACCCTTTCGAACCAAAAATTAATTTATGTAAAGATGTTTATGTACTGTAATACCTCGTGAAAGTAGAAACTCAGGAGAATCGATAGTTTCTTAGTTTGGTTTTTGGTGACGTCACGTGCAACCCAAGAATTACCCGTGATGATTATAACAGATTATAACACCAAAGCTGTCAATGTTGATGCATTCCAGAGAAGGGACAACTATAGTGACACAGCAAGAAAAGTTAAAAACGATACCCGACAACAGATGAACAATTTATTTCAAAGGTTCTGCTCTGTTCGGTCCTTTCTGTTGTCGAGAAAGTTTCATTACTTATTTGCAACGGGCAGTTTTCATTTTCGTACCGGACAAGCGGAAGTTGAGCCACGCCCACTTTTAGTCGACGATACATTTTTTGAAAGTTCGACACTTCCCCGGAAAAATCGACGACAAACCGCTCCCTGGAGTTTTTCTTGAAGCTTGTTTCCCGCTACAATAGACTTTCAAAACAGTACTTCATCCGATTTTTATATTGCGCGGGACCTCTCGTGACTTCGTCTCTCGCTTGTCTGCTTCGCGGCCTAAAAAGCTCGCTCCGCTCGCTAACGAACTCGTGAAATTCGATTCCACGGTAGTTTCAATGGGTTTTTCAGGAGCTTTGTCATCTTTTAGCCATTTTTCTTCTGTAGTAGGAGCCCTTGTCGTTCTCTGCTAATTTCGAAGCCCACTCTTTGGCGGCAAAACGATTTTGTCGTCTTCTTTTGTCTTGGAGTCGAGGACGAAAACGGACAAGCTCCTTTTTCTTCTTTGGAGGCATTCACTTTCAAACTCCAGGGAAAAACAGTGAGCACTATACTTGTAAACCACGATTTCTGTCAAATTGCGTGATTAGCTTGATTCAACAACGGCACGTGGATCAAGTATGACAGGACTTGTCAACGATCAATTAAAATAATTAGCATAAAAAAAACTTTTGCACTCCATAAGTCTGAACAAATGCGCACGACTGCCAGATGCGCAAGACTGTCAGCAGGCTGTTATCGAACAACAACAGCCCTAAGGAACATTGTACAACGATACTAAAACTTTTCACTTAACACAATACCCCAGCTGCTACTTAACTCAAAGGTTTACAAACTGTAGTTACACTCATTTTGAAACAAACTGTTTGTGGCGGCATGACAAAGAGGCAACTATTTTTTTTTTATTTGACCAATTGTTAGAAACAATCTCTCTGTTATGCAAAGTAAGTCCATAACCTATTGACCTATTGTTTCCAGACTAAAGCGCATTTCTAGCTGCTAAAAGTTTAAGTTAAGCAAGTTCGCCACAGCTCAAGAAGAAATGATGAGTCCTTTTTAGAAACTACACTGCATATTTTTCCAGTACGCGGTTCTTGGACTAAATTCTTGCAGCACGGTACACTTAGAGACTAGAGTAAGATTCTAGAATAATGTGAGGTAAGTTGGTTTGAAAACTAAGTTTAAATCGGAGGGCAAAGGAATAAAATTATAAATAGTTGTACTTTCAAATTGTGTTGATCCGAAGTTCCTGCACTCCTCAAACCTTGACCGATTTTTAAGGACCGTAAGCACAAGACAATCTTCTCATCTTTTACATAGTTTCAAGTCCCTAGAATTATCAAATCGAAACATCTTATATGAGTTTTAATGCAAATTTAATTCGCTATGTAAAAACACACTATCTCCCTGGATGAGAGGATTTTTAAAATTGAATTTTTTCCATGTTTCCTTTTGCATATTGGATTTCTAACCAGCACAGTAAATTGATTTGTAAGTAAACTGATGACTGAGGGTGCCTGCAGCAAAGCGAAACTATTTAACGATGCGGTCCGGATGTTTGTTACTTATACTTTTCAGCTGATTTATATGATTACAAATTGAAGCCCCATGAAATTTTTCAACTGAAGATTGTTCAATATTGGACCCTCGCGAGATTTAATTGAAGTAGAATTCAATCAGTTGTTGCGTTCTTAATCAGTGGTAAACTCACTGCTGTAAATCGTTATGGTAAAGACGCACATCGATCTACGCATCATGGCGTCTGCATGTTGTGTTTGGTTTAGAATCTTCAGTCTTTATCCCCGCTCGTAGGCAGTAATTCGTTTTCAGCTTTACAAGAAACAAACGAAAGAGAAAAGAAAAAAAGTATGAAAAAAATTACTCCTTGAGAGATTGGAAGCAAAGTTGGGCCAGCTTAAACGTCACCAATATTCAGTACTATTATAATAGTATC